GACACGATGATGATCGTAGCGATGTTGGTGACGATGTTGGCAACGACGAAGGCGCGGCCAGTGGTGGCGCCGATGCTGATCACGCCGACGACGATGACGTCCTCGCGTCGGTGATGAAGGTTGTGGAAACAGTTCGACATGCGCGCGCGGCCGACGCGCGAGAGTGGTCCGCATGGTGTTACTTGATACAGATCGTGCCCCCCCCCCAGCACGCGCGCAAAGGGCGTGCGAATGATGTCGGCATGCGGCGCAAGAGGCCCATTTGGCAGAATTCCATGACAATGTTAAAAACCGATGGTTTTCTCAAGAATTCACAACAGCAAAAGCGCACGTTTTTGTTTTGAAAGCTGATGTCGAGATACCATGTGTTATTATATGTGTTTGGACACTCGGTTTTGAAATCGCTACGAAACTGACGGTTCTGGAAGGATTTCGGCATGCGCGCGCGACAACGCGCGCGCGTACACTTCGTCCCTTTTTTTACAAAAGGATTCTCGCGACGGCACGCGCGCAAGGACGTTCGAACGATTTCGACATGCGCGCGCGGAGCCCGTTTGGTAGCATGGTTTTGAACATGTTGAAAACTTACGGTTGTCTTAAGACTTCGCGGGAGCGCGCGCACAAGCTTTTCTGAACAAGCGTGTTGCGAAATTTGGTGTTCTTATATGCGTTTGGACACTCGATTCTGACATCCTTAAGAAACCAATTGTTTTGAAAGATTTCGGCATGCGCGCGCGACGACGCGCGCGTGTGCACTGCGTCCCACTTCTTTGCAAGGGTTGATTGAAACATTCTGATGTTTGAGAACCCAGTGTGCGCGCATAGTGTGTTTTGCGTAGGATGGGGGGGCGATATTTGCCCCCCTTGGGATGCTGTAAATTCATACTTGGGATGGACGATGGGCCAGAATCATATTTAATTTGCAATACGAAGGGGGGCATTTTCTTTTAGGAAAATAAAGTCTAGGGCGGAGACGAGGCGGCGGCGACGGCGGCCACATAGCCGCCAGACCCACAGACTCGCCCAGACGACGGGCGGCGACCAGGCGGCGACGTGGCGGCGACGGCGGCCACATAGCCGCCAGACCCACAAACTCGCCCAGACAACGGGTGGTGACAAGGCGGCGACGGGGCGGCGACGGCGGCCACATAGCCGCCAGACCGACAGACAAACCCAGACAACGGGTGGCGACAAGGCGGCGACGGGGCGGCGACGGCGGCCACATAGCCGCCAGACAGACAGACAAGCCCTGTTCCTTAAAAAGAAACAAGACCTGGCAATGCAATTCCTTGCTTTGCACTGCAAAGCAATGCAGAACAACGAAAAGCAACGCAAAACAATGCAACGCAAGGCAGCGCAATGCGACGGCGACGGCAAAGCAACGGCGACGGGCGGCGGCGACAGGGCGGCGACGGCCGGCACGGAACCGCCAGACCGACACGAGCCCAGACAACACGCGGCGACGGGGCCGCGGCGGCGGGCACGGAGCCGCCAGACGGACATACGGGCCCAGTTCTTTAGACCAGAGGCAGGGACCCTTAAGTGCAAAGATTGTTTGGGGAATCGATATCTACACATTATATTATACAGATTGTACACATACACGTACACATATGTAATATATTGTGAAGACCTTGCGGCCAGTGCCGCCGACCTTGTATGCGAGGACAGGGAGATGGAACAGGTGGACGAGGAGCGGGGGGCCTCTTGAGTCTTCCAGGGCCTCTTGGGAGTTTGCTGGGAGTCTCTTGATGGCCTTTTGGGTCTTCCTGGGGGCCTCTTGGAGGTTTCTAGGGGCCTTTGGGGAGGCCTCATGGGGGCCTCCTGGTGCCTCCTGGGAGGTTCCGAGGCCGAGAGTTGCAGAGCTCCCGTCGGGTCCCCTGTCTGGGCACGCTCTGGGAGCCGTCTTGGGGGCCTCTTGGGCCGTCTTGGAGGCTTCTTGGGCTGTCTCATGGCCCTCTTGGGTCGTTTCGGGGCCCTCGTGGAGACATCTTGGATCATACGATGGCGATCTTGGAGGCCTCTTGGGCCGTCTTGGAGCGACGGGAAGCCGAAAAGGCGAGAACACCCAAGTCTGCCAAAAACATGAGGAGCACATGCGATATTTTCCTCTTAGGGCCCTCTTCGGAGTGCGTTTGGAGGCTTCTTAGAGCGTCTGGAGGCCATCTCTAGCGTCTGGGGCCCTCTTGGACCGTCTTACGTAGGGGCACTCTTGGCCCGTCTTGGGGTTTTGTGTTCCCTGGGACCCCGCGGGAGGGATGGCATTCTGACCCGGGACCCCCTTCCAAGACCCCCCACGAGCCCCCCCCCCGCCCAGGACCCCCGTCGACACCCCTCCCCCTGCGGGGAAGGGATCAAAGGGAAGGGGTTCCCTCCGACTCAACTACGACGTTGCTCAATTTCGCTGTGGCTGGTGTGCTTGAGGAGGAGGGCCGAGGGCAAGGGAGGGAGGGAGCGGCGGCGGCGGCGGCGGCGGCGGCGGCGACGACGACGACGACGTCGTCGACGACGACGACGGCGACGACGACGACGACTTCGACGACGACGACGACGAACGGAAGAGCGTTTTCCACACGCCGACTGGGTCGGCGGATTTGTATTTGTATGTATACACATACATATATTCCCCAATCAGAGCTTGCCTCTGTAGGGGTCCTAGCGGATTCATATGGTTAGGTGAGGTGTGCCGCCGATTTCGGCGGCGGGCTGGGGTGCCCGGGTACGCCGGGGGGCCCGGGGGCCCAGGTGCCCAGGTGGCTGGGTGCCCAGGTGCCCTGTAGCCCCATAGCCCTAGAGCCCTAATAGCCTTATAGCCCTAAAGCCTTATAGCTCTATAGCCCAATAGCCCTAATAGCCCTAATAGCCCTATACCCCATATAGACCAATAGCCCTATAGCCCTAATAACTTCATAGCCGTATAGCCCTACCTATAGCTCTATAGCCCTATAGCCCTATAGCCCCATAGCCCTATAGCCCCATAGCCCCATAGCCCTATAGCCCTATAGCCTTCACAAAATCTGGTTGGGGCTTTGCTCCGGTATCATGTACATGTGTGTTTGTGTATGTATGTGCTCATATATATATGTATATATATATACGTGTGTGTATGCCACATCAGTGCTCAAACCCACACACTACTCAAGCTTGGGTTGCTTCACAGATATGCGAGAGTGAGGACGAGGAGGAGAAGGAAGTAGGAGCAGGAGGGGGATGAGGAGGAGGAGGAGGAGGAAAAATAGGAAGAGGAGAGGGGGCGGAAGAGAGCGAGCGCAATCAAGGAGGAGCAATCAAAACCATTTGGCAAGGAGTGCTGCTTGGAGAAGGAGGAGGAGAAGGAGGAACGAGGGAGGGGGACCCGGGGAGGCGGGGAGGAAAAAGTGAATATGGATAATGAGAAAGAGGAGGAGGAGGAGGAGGAGGAGGAGGAGGGGGAGGAGGAGGGGAGAAACACGGGGGAGGAGCAGGAGGAGAAGGAGGAGGAGGACGACGACGAGAAGGAACAGTAACGAAGGAGGATAGAGGAATTAGGAGCGAGGAGGAGCATAGAGGACATAGCAGAGTCCAAGGTGGCAGCGGCAATGATGATATTCATGTCTTGAGGAAGACGAGGACCGTGGAAGAGGAGGAGAAGGACAAGGGAGGAGGAGGAGGAGGAGGAGGAGGAAGGATAAGTAGTTCGGATGAGGATCATGAGGAAGAGGAGCACGGTGAGTGAGCAGAAGGAGGAAGGAGGATGAGTTGGCAGGACTAAGAAGTAAGGACGATAAGGAGGAGGAGGAGGAGGAGGAGGAGGAGGCGCAGGGTCCGGGATGATGTGTATGATCTTCGGGGGCGGCGAGCATGTATTGCAATATGGACGGGCAGACACAATTGGCATATTGTCTGCAACGTCACGCCCGGGAAAGGCGCCCCCCCCCCGCCTTGCACAGCATAAGGATGCAGACGAGAGTACGCACTCATTTTGAGTAGGGGCGGACGTGCTTGGGGGGGTGGGCATGGGCAGGTCAGCGTCCTGCTGCCCCAACCGAAACACAGTGGAACGGGAGCGGGCCGAATTGGAGAGGGCGCCTTGGGGCACCGCTGGGCACCACAGCGGCACCAGGACAGGTCAGAAAGGCCACCCGAAAACAAAACACCAGAAGCAGTGGAAGCGGCAGAGAGGAGAGTTCGAGAAGAGGGGGAGGAGCTGGAAAGGGGCTGGCCGAGCGCAAAGGGATGGAGGGGTAAGTACTCACACTGATCACCTAGTGGTGGACGCGCCGAGGGGGTGGGCAGGGAAGGGGGAGCGGCAGCGAGGAGCGTTCAAGAGGAGGGGGAGGAGCTGGAAGGGGGGCGGCCGAGCGAGTGTGCCAGATAGATCGGGCGCTCGAAGGCTCCATGCCACGAGTCGCCGTCGGCCTGTCCCCCGCGCCTGCCTGGCGCGAGCTGCCGGGCCGACGCCCTTCTTCCCCCCCGGCTCCCCGAGCCGGCCGGGCTGCCGCAGACATGGCACCGCGGCGCCTCCCGTCAGGAGCGACAGAAGGACGTACACGTACATGATTCCATGCTGGTTTCGAGAGTACGCATTGCCCGAAAGTTCGTATCACGCGGCCGGTCTCGCGGATCGAGGGGCCGTGTTCATGTACACAGCTGGGCGCGTACGTCCTTTGTGGGCTCCATATCCCGAGGGCCCTGGCGCGTGCCCCCGTGCTCGCGCGTGCTGGGGTGGCCCGCCTCGGGCCTCCGTCGCCTGCCGGAGCCCGTGGCCCTGCGCTCGCGGCCCGCGGTTGGGTTGCCAGGAAGAGGGAGAGGAGGAGGAGGAGGGGGAGGAGGAGGAGGAGGAGGAGGAGGAGGAGGAGGAGGAGGAGAGGAGGAGGAGGTGGAGGAGGAGGAGGAGGAGGAGGAAGAGGAGGATGAGGAGGAGAAAGCAGGGGGATGCAGGAGGAGGAGGAGGAGGGAAGGCAGGAGGTCTCCCCTCCTCGCCCCGGGCCGGAGCGGCGCGGCTCTGCCCCCGATTTGAGTCGGACTGCGTCTGCACCGCGGAGTGGGACCCTGTGTGCGGTGCCGACGGCCAGACCTACGGCAACCCCTGTGCCGCAGGCGCTCTCCTTCCTCTTCTCCCCTTCCTCTGCCTCCTCCTCCTCCTCCTCCTCGTCCTCCTCCTCCTTCTCCTCCTCCTCCTCCTCCTCCTCATCCTCCTTCGTCGTACGCTTGCCTCCTCCTCCTCCTCCTCCTCCTCCTCCTCCTCCTCCTCCTCTGCCGCCGCCGCCGCCGCCGCCGCCGCCGCCGCCGCTGTGGCTGTAGGCGCTGGGAAGACACGTGGCCCCTACGCTCGTCTCCTCCTCCCTTCTCCTCTCACGCTGGTTCACGCCCAGTCCCTGGGACCCGAAGTGGCGGAGGGTAGTGCTCGACGAGAGTAGGAGCCTGGGGGCCCGCTCCAGTGAGAAGTTGGCGGTGCGCAGCGCATTACTGCCAGGGCCCCGCCTCCTCACTTCTCCTTGCGGGGTTCGTTTCACCTATCTGGTTGAAGTGCGAGTCGATGAAGTACCTTGCTGGCGGGTGCGTGAGAGGTGTCCCTGGGACTGAGCCTCATGCACAGTAGGGAGACGCTTCCTAAGCGGCGTTGTTTGGCGTTGCGTTGCCTTGCTTTTGCATTGCATTGCATGCTTGGCAGAAACAAGACCGATGGCCCTGGGTATCCATAGGAAGACCTTTTCAAAAGCAGTAAGGCATCAAGACCAAGAAACATGGGGAGCTCGAGGAATGCCATCCAGGAAATCAGCTACGTGAGCTGATTCTCAAACCCCCCCTTTGCTATCCCCCCTTTTCGCCCGACCCGATTACTGGGGGAAGAGTAATTCATTCTTGTTGATCCTACATGGTGCGCTCCAGGAAGGGCCTCGCCCTCGAGGCATCGAGGGGGTCGGCAGATCTTCTCCGGCGGACGGCGCCAGAAGGGCAGCGGAGGCAAGACGAGGGCGTGCTCGCCAGCGGCAGGTCGGCGGAAGCGGGCCTTGAGACGGGGGTCAATGCAAACGGGGGTCAGCCAGGGCGCCAGATCCTGCAGGATCCTGCGAAGACCCCCTCTGGCTGACCCGGGTTAGCGAGCCGCTCGTGGCCGCGAGGCGGCCGCGCACATTGGCTGACCCGGGTCTGCGAAGACCTGCGTTGCAGTTTTTGTTGTCCCTGCATTGCAGTTTTTGGTTTCCTGCTGACCCGGGTCTGGATTGACCCGGGTCAGAAGATCCCCGACACGCCAAGAGATGGCATTATTTTCACCGGCAGGGCTTCCTGGAGTCCGCCACCCTCCGCTCGAGGTTTTTTTCGTGGGCCTCCGGGAGCGGGTCGCGCGCTCGTGCCGTCACCGAGGCCCGTGGGACCCCCCGGAGGTAGGGAACTTTTGCTGCACTCGGAGCGGCCCAGGAGGGGATTGTTAATGAAGGGGCCCTGGGGCACACAAAACTAGATGCACACAAATAACAGGATTCCCTATATTTTCCCATCTTTTCTGGGTTTTTGTCTCCCCCCCACCTCCCATAGTTTCCCATATTTTCCTGGGGGTCGACGATGACTTGTGTCTGTGTGTTTTTTTCCATTCTGAGTTAAGCGTGGGGCTCCGGGAGCGGGTCGCGCGCTCGTGTCGTCACCGAGGCTCGTGGGACCCCCCGGAGGTAGGGAACTTTTGATGCACTCGGAGCGGCCCAGGAGGAAGAGGCGGAGGAGGAGGAGGGGGAGGAGGAGGGGGAGGGGAGAAGGAGGAGGAGGAGGAGGAGGAGGAGGAGGAGGGGGAGGAGGAGGGGGAGGAGGACGAGGAGGAGGAGCAGGAGAAGGTTAAGGGGGGATGGACAGAGCAGGCACCTCGAGAGGGCAGGGGGCGCGCGCGCGAGCTCCGCAGCCCGGTCCCGCATCGCTCCGGCCCCGCCGTTTCCCGGGGATCGTCGCGGCGGACGTCGGAGAGCGCGCCTCGAGGGGGAGGGGGAGGGGAGAACGACAAGCTAGGTGCGCTCGCGTCATATCTGACGTCCTACCCCTCCCTCCCATCCCTTACCATGGCGCTGATTTTCTCTATCCGCGGACGCGTGTCGTAGCGGACCTGTGGCTCCGCGCGCGCGTGCGTAGTGGGTGGTGGTGCACGTGCGTGCGTGCGTGCGTGTGTGCGTGGTTGTCGTGTGGTGGTGGTGGTGGTGGTGGTGGTGGTGGTGGTGGTGGTGGTGGTGGTGGTGGTGGTGGTGGTGGTGGTGGTGGTGGTGGTGGTGGTGGTGGTGGTGTGGTGGTGGTGGTGTGTGGTGTGGTGGTGGTGGTGGGTGGTGGTGGTGGTGGTGGTGGTGGTGGTGTGTGGTGGGGTGGTGGTGGTACTGGTGCTGGTGCTGGTGCTGGTGTGGTGGTGGTGTGGTGGTGGTGGTGGTGGTGGTGGTGGTGGTGGTGGCGGTGCGGCGCGGTGGTGGCGGGCGGATGGGCGCGCGAGAAAAAGGCCCGCGCTGGGGCGAGAACGCCATCCTGAACGACGGAGGCCAAACACCGATCCGAAAATGAGGCCCACGCTGCAGCGGGAGCACGATTCGGAACGATTCGGGAGCAGAAATGAGGCCGGCGCCTCAACGAGAGCAGCATTTTGGGAAAAAATGACGCCGGCGCCTCAGCGAGAGTCGTTTCCCGGGATTTCCCGGGAATCCTGTGTGTAAAAAAACAGTACGCGGAGGGTGCGCGGCCATCACCCGGACGCCATCAGGGGAAGAGGGAGAGTATTTTCATATTGAGTAATTGTGGAGGAGGAGGAGGAGGAGGAGGAGGAGGAGGAGGAGGAGGAGAAGGAGGAGGAGGGTGAGGAGGACGAGGAGGAGGAGGAGCAGGAGAAGGAGGAGGAGGGGATTGTTAAGGGGGGGATGGACAGAGCAGGCACCTCGAGAGGGCAGGGGGCGCGCGCGTGAGCTCCGCAGCCCGGTCCTGGACTGGTCCGGCCCCGCCGCTCCCCGGGGATCGTCGCGGCGGACGTCGGAGCGCGCCTCGAGCTGTGGCGGGGAGCCGATTTTTCCCCTGGCATCCCTGACTCCGGATCCGCCCTACTTTGGCTTTTTTTCCAACTTAAAATTGCGTCGAAAATCCACCTAGAAGAGGCCGAAAAGGTAGGGCGGAAATGGCTGCACACAACATAGAATAGGGCGGAAATCCACAGAAACAGCAACAGAAAAGTAGCGCGGAAATTGGCATCAGCGGGGCTTGAAAAGTAAGGCGGAAATTCCAAGCCCCAGTTACGAATTTCCCCAAAGTAGGGCGGATCCGGAGTCAGGGATGGGGGCCGCGTCTGCGGTGGAGGGGCGGCAACCCAAGCCCCTCGGGACTGGGTCCACCACAGCCCCGCCCCGTTTCCATACTCGTCAAAGTTCAGGAGGGGGAAGAACACACAGACACAATGAATCGTCGATTCCCCAGGAAAATACGGGAAAATATGGGGAGGGGGGGGAAGACGGAATCCAAGAAAATATTGGGAAATATAAGGAATCCTGCTATTTTCGTATATTTATTGATGTGTCCCAGGGCCCCTTCAAAAATGCCTGGAGGAAGCGTGCTCCAGCCGTGGCGGCGCCAGTCTCCACGGGCTGGCTCCGCCACTTGGGGAGCGGCAGCGCGAGAGTCCCCGCGGACTGGGGCTCCGTCACGTAGAACTTCTTTCCTCCCCCCCCTCATCTTGCCATCGCTGTCATCGTTCCCTTTCGGATCCTCATCATCGTCCTCGTGCTGCTCGTCGTGCTTCTCCTTCCCTGCGGCCGTTTGGCCCACAGCGACAAAGCTTGCAACGGATGGTACTCTGATGCGTCAAAGCATTGAAGACATGTTATTAAATGCTTGTACGCGCGGTATGTATATGCATATATATATATATATGTCCATACAGGCATACACATATACATGCATGCACGCATGCATGCATACATGCATACATGCACACATACAAACATGCATACGTACGTACGTACTTACATACATACATACGTACATGCATGCATATATACCTACACACATACATATATACATACATACAAACATACATACATACGTACGTACGTACGTACGTACATTCATGCATACATACATGCATGCATGCATGCATGCATACATACCTACCTACCTACCTACATACATGCATGCATACATACATACATACATATGTTTGTACGAGGAGGGGATGGAGCGAGAAGGGACCAAGGCCGGGCAAGCAGTGTGGCCGGAGGAGGGGCAGGCCATCTCAGAAGGCAACCGGGCTTCTCACAAGCCCTTTGGCCTTCTGAAAGGCCCTGTACGGCTTCGGAGAAGGCCCAGCGAGCTCCCCAGAAGGCCGCAGGCCTGCTGAGCCTTCCGAGAAGGCCCGCCCCCTCTGCTTTCCTCCCTGGGCGCGCCGCCGACGCCGTCCCCAGCGCTGCCCCTCACCCTATGCTGCCGCCGATGGCTTCCTTCCCGGCCCTGCCCCCGACGGTTCCCCCTTCTGGTGCTCGCCTCCGGTCCCCTACGCCTCTTCGCTTCGACTCTGTCCCCGACCGTCCCCGGCTCCGGTGCTCGCCTTCGGCTCCCGACCGCCCCCGACTCTGGCGCGTGTTCCGTGCTGCCGCTGATGTCCTTCCGTCGCCCGTGTCCCCGAGTGTTCTGGCTCTGCTGCCTTCCCTGAGCTGTCGCCGATGTCCTTGGTTCGGCCTCGTCCCCCATGGTCCCCGGCTCCTCTGGTTGCCCTGCAATGCCGCCGATTTGTTTTTTCGTCGGCTCCGTCTTCGATAGTCCTCATCCTTGTCTTGAGTTGCCACCAGTTCCCTTTGTTTGGCCATGTCTCCAGCTATCCCCAGCTCTGGTGCCTGCCCTGCGCTGTCGCCGACGCCACTCGCCTGGCCTTGTCCCCAGCTGTCCCCAAGTCTGGTGCGTGATTTTCGCTGCCACCAGATTATTTTGTTTGGTTTGTTTGGTCTTACCCCTGGCTGTTCGCTGTTCACAGTTCTGGGGTTTGCTCTGCGTTCCTGCCAATGTTCTTCGCTCGGCCGTGCCCCTAACTGGCTGTCCCTGGCTCCAGTGCTCTTCCCCTGCGCTGATGCAAACTTTCCTCGTTGGGCCCTGCCTCCAGCTGTCCCCGGCGTCAGGGCTTGCCTTGCAGTGCCGCCAATGTCCTTGGTCCGGCCCTGTCCTCAGCTCGGGTGCTTGCCCTGTCTTGCCGCCAGTGCCCTTCGCTCGGCCCTGTCTCCGGCTGCCCTTGTCTCTGGTGTTTGCCCCAGGTTGTCATCGGTTTCGTTCGTTCGGCCCTGTCCACGACTGTCCTTGACATGGCCCTCGCCCTGCGTTGCCGTCAATGTCATTGGTTCGCGCTGTGGCCAAAAGCTGTCCCCAGCTCTGGTGCTTGCCCTGAGCTGCCACAACTGTATTTCGGTCGGTCGGCTCTGGTGGGGCTTGCCCTGACTTGCCGCCAATGTCTTTGGTTCCGCCCCACCTTCAGCTGTCCCCAGCATGCCACCGCTGTCCTTCGAACGGCTCTGCCCCCAGCTCGTGTGCTCGCTCTGCGTTGCCACCACTTTCCTCCGCGGGATCCTGTCCCCGGCTTTTTCCCAGATCTGGGGCCTGCCCTGCGTTGCTGCCAATGTCGTTCGTTGGAACCTGTACCCAACTCTCCCCAGCTCTGGTGCTCGCCCTGCGTGGCCACCAATACGGCAGAGGGAAACAATTAGTGAACACCCCCCCTGCCCCCCAAACTCAAGGTTGGCACGCGCGGGGGAGACTGCGGTCGACGTGCAACTCATCAGACCCACCGCCAACTTTGAACATTGGGGGGAGGGGGAGGCGTTCACAGATGAATGTGGCATGAGTGTTCGCTATTTTTTCCGAGGCCTGTATCATTCGGTCGGCCCTGTGTCCAGCCGTCCCCGGCTTTCGCGCTTGCCCAGCGCTGCCGCGGACCCCTGCCTTCTGGAAGCGCTTGTGGCGAGGAACGTCGAGCGCGAGTGCGGCCACGCTAGTCGGGGGCGGAAAAGAGGGGGGTGATAACTAGGGGGGGGTATCATGGCGGGGGCCATGATATTTCCCCAGATCTCATGGCGCCCCTTCTTATTTCATTACGTCCCTGGCCCCCCCCTTGGGCCGCGCACATGCCGCCGGCCATGATTTGCACCCCCCCCTCTTGGACGCCCCCCTCTTGGCCGCTCCCGAGCTAGGGGACTCTGGGTTCTCCCAGCTGCTGGAGACGTCAGTGTGGGAAGCGTGGGGGGACTGTCGGCTTTCTTTGGGACCTCCTGGGGTCGGGCCATCGTGGGGCCGTCTTCGGGCGCTCTCGGGCCGTCTTCGCGCCCTCTGAGGCCGACTCGGGGGCCCCTCCAGCCCGTCTTGGGGCGCTCTTGGGGCCGTCCCGGGGCTTTCTTGAACTGTCTCTGGGCTCTGCTGGGGCCGTCTCGGGGCCTATGAATGCCGTCTTGGGCTGGTCTTGTGGGCTTCTGGGACCGTCTTGACCACGAGACCTCCCAAGACGGCCTCTTTTTCACTTTGGTCGTATGGAAAGTGCATTGGGGGCTACGAGGGAAAATCTGGGACATTCTAGGCAACTTTGGAAGCCATCTCAAGCCATCGCGGCCAGCTTTGAAACGAGATTGCTTGATTTTGCGGTCTCCTGCTCCTCCCTTCTGTGTGGGGCGAACTCTAGGTGGCTGGCCCTTAGCGCTCTGGAGCCTGCTCCTCCACCTCCTCCTCCTGCTCCTCCTTTATGCCTTCCCCCTCCTCCCCTCTCCGCTCGCCGGGCTCTGCAAGCACGAGCGAGCCCTGGCGGCGGTGGCGCCCCTGTCCAAGCCCGGAGGCCCTGCGGGCCGGAAGAGGGGCCGCAGATTTGCCGCCCCGACCCCGCCTTTGCCCCCCCCTTCCCCTGCGTGCAGTCAGACCCCATCCTCCCGACCACCCCCCCCCCAACGCCCCGCCCCGCGCGCCTCGCACGCGCCCGCTGGGGGTCCCCGCGGCCTCGGCGCCGCCGTCGCCGCCGCCGCCGCCCCCGCGCCTCCTCCCCGCCCGCCCCGCGCCACGCAGGCTGCGAGGGCGCCGCCATCGCCCACACCGGAGAGTGCCCAGCCGCCGCCGCCGGGGCGGCGGAAGCGGGCGGCGCGGGCGAAGGCGACTCCTCGGAGGCCCGCGGGGGGGTGGGCGGCCCAGAGACCCGGGATGGGAGGCCCAGGACCCGAGATCCGGGCGTGTTCAGTTTTTTCACACCAGGCGTTTCCGCCAGGTTTCGGGCCCCCTGGATTACGGCTGATAGCCACAGTCCTGCACCGCCCGCGCGACCAGGGTGCATGCGCGAACTTCAACGCGTCCCCATGCCTCTGACTCAATGTTGGTTGGCATCGCCAGTGGAGTGCAGGATTTCGGCCTGTTGACAGATCGGCACATCTCGGCGCAGCCCGCCACTCCTCAATTAGCAGCGCGGGGGATGTTCCCAAACACCAGCATAAAAGGTTGCATGCTTTTGTCCATCAGCAGTATCAAAGATCGATCCAGCTCGAAAATTGCCTCAAGAAGACAGGATCTAGTCGGGCCGGGCGAAAGGGGGGGATTGGGAAAGGGGGGGTTACGAAATTTACTGCATGCAGCTGGTTTGGGCCCCACCGAGGGGCCCATTCCTCGATACATAGCCGCCTCCGGCGCCGGGAGGCGCCGGGAAAATCAGCTACGTGAGCTGATCTGAACCCCCCCCTTTGCTATCCCCCCCTTTCGCCCCGACCCGATCTAGGGTTCCGGTCGCGACTTCTTGCAATGATTCAGGGGGGTCCGACAGCATGTGGCCATGTGCGCGGTCCGCTTTTGCCCGCTGGCGCTGGAGCGAAGAACCGCCTGCTGTTCGCGGAGGAGGAGGAGGAGAAGCAGCAGGAGGAGGACGAGGAGGAGGAGGAGGAGGAGGAGGAGGAGGAGGAGGAGGAGGAGGAGGAGGAGGAG